AATTGTCTCCACCCGAATGTGTTCCTTCGGATGCCAGCCTCGCTTCACCCTGGATCAATACTCCGCTGCCTTTGCGAGTGGGCGTGTGCACTCATGGCGGAGCTGCTTAAATTGTCCGAGGGTCGAAAACGCTTTGCAGCGGGTGCAGATAATTAAGATCTGATCGTTCGAGCACTCGAGCGCCAGACAAGAGTGCCCCCGTTCAGTCACAGAACGAGCAACCAGGGGCAAGTCTCCTGCGCAGCCCTCACACGAGGGACGCGCTGCTTGCCTGCGGAATCTAAGACAACGATTGCACCTCTAAAAAGACTTGACCCATACCCAGACATGCTCTCCCTCAGGCACCTCAGCCTCCAGGCGGCGAGGGCGAGGAGGCGCAATGTAGGGAACGTCTGCAAGGTCCAGACGCGGCCAAGAAACGAGAACTTTGGCCGCCAGACGCGAGACTGTGCGCGACACCTTGAGCTGCCAATCCAGCTTAGTCTGCTGCTCATTGGTAAACCTGGGGTGAGCAGCGGCCCCAAGCTTGGCTGAACGATCAGCCTCGTCGTTTCCGATTTTAAAGAAACGCTCTTCGGGGGAGAGATCGTCCGACTCGGCCACATGGGCCTTCACTTTGATCAAATCAGAAAAGCGGGTCCCCAAAACATTAATCATGAGGCCCGAGTAAGGCCTCTTGTACGACAGCTTCTTAGAGCGGTCGAACTTAAAGGCCCTACACACATTCAGACAATCTGAGTAGCCTGGAGCAGGGTCAGTGAGGCAAAGGCTAGAATAAGCAAGAGCCCCAAACTCGGCCGCCTGAGGGGTCTGGGGGAACCGATCCCAAAGGGGGGACCAAGCTCTAAGCTTCAAAACCTGCTGTGAATCATAAACCGCAATGCCCCACCCTGCCCTGCTTAATTATTTCACTACGTGCTTATGACAAGAACCATCCATGAACACATAGGATCCAGAAAACAGTTGCTCATCTTCGTGTTCTTGATCTACCTCCCAACGAACCTCTGGAGCACATTCGAGAACAGGACGGGGGTGAAGGTCCCCAGGATGAGGGAACAGACCCTTGGTGAACAAAATCCAATCCTCCATGGAACAAGAAGCAGGGTCAATCCCATTGGCCGCCTGCAAAACATCGGGACCTACAACTTCCTGTCTGAGTTCCGCGACCTCAGGGTCAGGACAAACCCAAAGCCTGCGGAAAATCGAGTCCGAGGGCCCGCCACACAACGCGCAACACGTGTCCTGGAGTTGATAACCGCACTGGGTCGCCCGCTCCTTGGTCCAACGAGCCCCGCAGACATTGGCTCTGATCGAGCCTTTCTCGAACGGCGTGTATTTCGAACTGCTGAGGTCGCGAATCACAGAATCATAACAGAGCCTGGCTCCAACGCCAAGCTTCTCGCCTGACAGCCGGCACAGTTGACGAATGACAGCTTCCCGCAGAAGATTCTTGATCAATTCGGGGGAAGAAGTCGTGAGAGAGACGGTGGCGCCAAAGTCGTTCGTCACCTGCGCGTAGCTGGGCATGCTCCAGCCGATGCGCTTGAGGGACAGAAACATAGCACCTATGGGGCCTCGCACCTGCCGCCAAGCAGTTGGCGGGTTGGCCCACGTCTGAGCCCAAGCGTCGCGAAGAACCGCGAAGCCTAGAGCAAAAGGAGTCTGCTGGACCTGGGCATCCCACAACTCCGTGGAATATCTGGCAATCGGAGAAATGGCAGCATGATAAACTGGGTCCCCTTCCAGAATACACAGTGATGTAAGGGACCTGGACCCCGCCGAAGGTTTGACAGACTTCCCAAAGCCAGAACGTAGCATTCCCAATTCATAATCAGAAACTCCATAAACCTCTGAACCGTAAGTAACTGATGCCAGGGGCCCTGAAACAAAGATCATGCGAGTGTGTCGGCCTAGAGCTTGACGAGCCTTTCGCACCCGTCGGCAACGGGCTCTAAACTGAGCCTGTCTAGCCTGGGCCTTCCTACCTCGACCTCTGGTGCGGCGAGCCTGTCCAGCACCATCATCGACACCAAGATTGATTGCAGAGCTGGTGTCCGCCGAGGGGCCGCCGTGCGCTCCAAGAAACGTCTTCATTTCCTGGCCTACGTCGGCGTGAGAAGCCACTACGGCAGCCTTATATGTAAATATGGTCGCCTCCATATCGGTATCCAGGGCCACCAGGAGGTCCACCGAGGCCCGCTTCAAAGACGACGCGACCGATTTCGAAGTCCCCGAACTCGATAGCCCATAGTCGTCTATGTATATATCTAAGGAGACCTGCTTGGGGAACCTGATGGGATCCACAGTTGGGATGATGTAAACCCTGACGTACGATGTCGCTATGCTACAGCCAGCTACCACCCCGTGCGTGGCAAAGTGAGGTCCATGAAGAAGACCTCCTAGCGATATGAAGCGAGCCCCACGATAAGCCCTATAAGATACCCTGGCGATCTGCATCGGGAAATCGAGCAACTGGCAACGGGCGAGGAGCTTGGGAAGCCGAATCGTTTCGTAGAACTTATATAGATACCACAAGACTTTACAACAGCTCATCCCTCGACCGACTATATGTTCACTCTTCACTCCCTGACGATACACCACATCCGAGGCTGAGTTGAAAGAGCCTGAAGCCAAATAAAGACGCTGACGTTCGGCTTCCCATCGCTCAGCGTAAGGGCGCCGAGCGCGAGCCCACAGCCTATAGAGGGCCGAAAAAAGCCCTATCGGGCGGTAGCCTCCTGCAGGCTTCTGAAGCAGTACCGCGAGCAGCACCTGGGCGGGGTGGGGCAACAGACTGGTGGCCTCCATCATCGAAAACATGGCGCTGACGGCAATCAGCAAGTCGGGATGCATGAGGGCGAAATGCCGCATGTGAAACCCATCAACGCTGGAAGCCGTGCCTAACGCATAAGTCTTACTCACAGCTATCAAATCGTCCGCCGAGAGTGCTTCCAAGAACTCGAGGGGCTCCTGATCCTCAGGCGGCGGGTGCGAGGCAGACTCCCAGAGAGCCCCGAAACGTTCCCCTTCCGACTTCAGAAGGGACATGGGATCCGAGAGGACCAAGCCGTCGGCCGACAGCGTGGTCGTGGCCACCCAGGGCTTCAGCTCGCGGGTCCAGCGGTGGGCGTTTTTCCCCCCTTTGTCGACGCCGTCCAGAAGCCAACTACGCCACTCCTTTAAAGAACGCTGTGAGGAAGACTTAGCATACTCTGCTAATCTAGGTCCAAGTTGAGCGTGAAACTCTCGAAAACGTGAATCATCTTCGCAAACATCCTGAAAACCGTGGAGGAGTTCGCACCCAAGACGATAATCATCTTGAAACCCTTCCCAAGCACGTTGAACATGAGGAGGGGGATCCAGAAAATGGGCCCGATAACGCTTTAAAGCTCCAAGATCTCCAGAGTCGAAAGCCCCCAAGATAAACCTCGTAGTCCTTGACAGCCACCTACCAGCAACTAGGCCAGGATCTCGATTCGGGGGTCGCGAATCTTTCTCCAGAGCCGAAACCCAGGCCAAACGAGGCCGGCGTCCACGGGAGCCCCAAATTATGAGCTCCGTCTGAAGGACCCTGGAAAACTCCCATTCAGCAGCATCAGCCCAGACTCGGTACAAAACGTCTAGGTGCTTCTGGATTTTGCCTCTGGACTCACGCCTCTGGATGAGCTCTCGCCCTTCACGGGCGCAGTCCAAAACGTGGGCGTGATCCTCCGTGCACGGCGCGGGGCCGATCGGACACTCCGCTGGCAACTTCGGCGGGCGGAGGAAAGTGAGGGCCTTAAGCTCAACCAACTGCGGGTGGAAGAGAATGCGCACGGGCGTGCGCGTCTTGATGTCGCTACCGAGGACGGCGGTGACTTCCTGAATGCAGCGGGTAAAACCTGACGATAACACAAAATAGTCCAGGACTCGTAGACCCCCAGTACTAGAACATGTGCCGATATCAGGGTATATAACATTCGCCTTCAGATATCCAGGGACCCCCGAAGAAACCGGGACCTCTGGGATCATATTGAAGTCGCCGCCTATCACGTTTGGACCCTCATAAAGCGCGTGCCTGGCCGAGACGGCCGCCAGTATGTCGAGATTCCTGCTGGTAAGCTCTTCGCTGTCGCACAGGTAAACCGATGAGACCAAAACCGCAACGGCCCCTGGCACCTGGACGATTCCACTCATAGCCCTGGACGGGACGACGATCGGACCGAACTCGGGATCGTGAAAACCCAGGAAGGAGCGGACCAAAATAGCGACACCTCCCGAGGTGCCTCCTGCTGCGGTTCGGGTAGCTGGATTGAATCGAGATTTCCAACCCCTCTTTAGTGCCCATTGTCCTGCCTTGGCTACGTCGTCGTCCGATACGATGTGGTGCTCTTGCACGAGAACGATATTTGCAGACGTGGTTACAAGCCACGCCTCGATGGAAGACCAACTCGTACAGTTCACCGTTTCGATCGACAACTGGAACGTGCAATCAGGGCAGGGGGGCACAGATAAAAACTTCGAGGGGTCAGAAGGTAAGTCGCCTCCTGGGGGCAACCTAAAATACTTAGAAGCGACGACAGAGGCCTCAGAGCTGGCCCCACACGCGTGGTGCAAGGCCTCACCCGACGACCCCGAAGTCGCCGCCGATGACCAGGTACTCCCAGTCGATCCAGACCAACATAATTTCGAAACCTTGTCGGGCTCCAGTGGGGATGAGGGAATGGTAGCCGCTGGACTACCTTCTGCACGTGTGTCATGTCCCCCCTGCCAACTAGGCGCTGGCAGGGGGGCCTCCTTCTGCAAGAGGACCGAGAATGCGATCTGCAGCACCAAGGAGGTCCGTTGCTGATGACGAGGCCGACGAAGAAGGTGGCGCCCCCGACGAAGCAGCTGAAGAGGTCCCCTCGCCTCCGCCGCGCGAAGGCGGCGCCGCATCAGGCTTGGTTCCCCCGTCGCCGTCGCCAGGTGCCGCTGCTGCCGCCGCACCTTCAGCGCCAACCTTACGTTTTTTGCCCAGCCTGCCGACATGAGCTGCATGGGCCTGCTTGAGCTCGTCGAACTTCTGCTTCGCCTCTCCAAACAACTGGCGTGCCGAAGCCTGGATGGCCTCCTTGAGCTGGGTCGTGCGCTTCTCCAGCTCCTGAGTGTCGGCCTCCTGCACCTCGTGCACCGAGCTGTCGATCCCGAACACCTCCTCCACGTTGGACATGTCCAGGAAGTCACTCTCGCCCGCCAGCAGGTCCTGCAGGGACACGCGTGCCTTCGGCTGGGCCGCTGGAGGCGGACAGACCTGAATACGCAGCTGCTCCACCAAAGTCTGGTACTTGCCAACCTCTGCGGCCAGCTCGCGACGAGTAGCACCGATGGACTCCTTCTTGTCGTGGAGCCAGTTGTGCCACTTAGTGTACTGATCCAGATCATGCTGAAGTTTCTTCTCCAACTGCTTGATATGACGATCGCCCTGGTTCGCCTGAGCCTGCAGCGGCACTGGCGCATCGCCGACTCGGCGCTTGTCAAGTCGATTCTGGAGGGCCGTGGCAGCCGACGGGTTGCCCATCTTCTTGTTGAGGGAGATGAGCTGCTGCAGCTCCTCCTCGGACAGCTTGTCTTCGTCGCCGGCCACAGGCGGGGGGCTGGTGCCTCCCTGGAGGCCCACGGGCAGGACAGCCGACGTGGCCCCACTTGCTGCCCACTTGTCCCAGTCCGCCCAGGGGTCAGCCCAGGCGCCGCTGGGCGGCGGGGGCGCCGCTGCCTCCACCTCCTTGCGCTTGCCGTGGCACTGCTTGCAGAACCAGTAGCGGGCCAGGTTCTTGCCACAGCCGCAAGCGCAACACTTCCAGTAGCCAGTCGCATCAGAATCGCGCCAAGGAGGAGGGCCCGCAGCAGACCAGCCTCCGCGACGACGAGACGGCGCCATGGCGGGCGCCGAGGGATGCGTGAGATTGCCTCTGATTCAGTCGTCTCCCGCGGGGAGACGAAACCTCAAGCGCCTCGGGACGGCACAGAGGCAGGCCCAAAAAAACTCGGGCCCCAGTTGCTTGAGGAGGAGGAGGAGGAGGAGGAGGAGGAGGAGGAGGAGGAGGAGGAGGAGGAGGAGGAGGAGGGGAGGAGGGGGAGGGGGCAGGCGAGGGAGCCCCGGCCCTGGGGGAGGGGCCCTGAGGGAGCCCTGATGGGCTTCCGGCACCATGGAGAGGTCCTGTGGGGCGGCCGCCCCTTCTTCTCTCGGTCGTTTCCCTCTCGCCCAGAAGCGCGCGCCCCTTCTTCTATATATATATATATATATATATATATACAGAAACTCCCGATCAACCGCAGAGCGGCGGATGTTATGTTTATGATCTCGGTAAACCAATACACAATAATCAATGTGTTGTCGTACATCAGCGAAGCGGCAAAGTGAGTCGGCACCTCGGTGGCTGACAATCACCGCGCTATGTTGCGCGTCCATCGTAAGTACGGCTGCTGGTCCGCTCCTCTACAAATGTCTCGAAGCTGCCTGAGGATCGGAAAAAAACCCTGGGCGCTGCCAGAACCGCTGCCGAACCCGCCAGATCATCACGCCGCATGGCTATCACTACACTTGCGCCTACATCGGCGGGCCCAGGGAATTGCAAACGAGTGCTGCCCCCATGCTTCTGCCACAGAAACGCCTTTACCTCGCCCGCGGCCGTCAACGACGCCACCAGCACGCGTGAGAGAGCCAGAGACTGCACCCCCTCCTCGAGGCGACCGACTGTCAGCGCAAGCGCCACCACCCAGCTGCTCTTTGGAAACCACTGCTTAACATTCAATCTTCGCTGGCCTCCCCCCACCCCACGCTGCAACAACGCCTGGATTGCGGGGGGGGCGGGGGGTCTGCCGAAGGGCAGTGCCTGCAACGTAGATGCAAGGCTACTGCCGCCCTCCACCGTCGTGACCTGCACTGCCGTCGCTACTGCCAGCGCAAAGAACAGGGGCGCCGGGTTCCGTGCTGCACAAGTGTCATTGTTGCCGCGGACACACGAACCCCAGTAGCCTCAGGGTTCGGCGGGGCGGTTGCCACCCGAGCCGTCTGGGACAACGCGATCGGGTTAAGCACGAAATCCAACAATTGCACGAACAACTGCTGGCACTGACCCGGTGGCCAAGACCCACCAAATTCTGAAGATAGTCGTTGGGCCACCATCCGCACGCGTATCAATGTCCCTCCCCTGGGCGATACTGCCTGCTGGCTGTCCCGCTGCTGCCTTCGCTGCCGCGTCAACTGCTGTTTCCTGCCAAGCTTTCTGGCTTATACGATACTGAACACCATCGGCTGACAAATCGCCCAACATATCGTTACTTTGGCCAACTCAGCGGCACGAGCCTAGCGAACCTCTCCGAAACGATGTCCAACATGATCGACCCACGAACCCGGAAAGGAATATAGAACTGTAACACATGGCAGCGTTTTCAAAGACACCTGATTGGGTGACGGGCAACTGCAACGCTGAGTGGATCGATCTTGATGTACCCTGCCGAGGGCTGTGCTGTGCTGCACCATGCTGAATGGCGATGTGCCATGGCGCGATTGTGCTCTATAGCGTCATGGATCGAGTCCTCCTTTGCATCCGAGCCCTGACCGAACTGATCTGGATCTTAAGCTTGAGCTGCCTGAACACATAACCTCATGCCCGTGAGAATAAACACTAGGGGATAATAAAGTTCGGGGTTCAGGGAGAGATAATAAAAGTAGCCCAGCAGACCTCAGCATAATCTCGAAGTAAGAGATGATCAAGAGGAGACCAAGCCGAGCACGTTTTGAGACATCCTTGGCGTTTAGTTTTCATAGAAATATCCTCAACAATGGCTTATCTCTTCATGAAAATTGTTTTTTGTAAGTGCTCGTGTAGGGTAGCTCATGTGCCTCAATTTCCATGGATAATCAACCCCAGAGATAAAACAGTTCAGGCGAGCGTGGGGACAGAGAGAAATATAAAAGAAGAATAATACAGTAGAAGAATAATAAAAAAGAAGAAGAAGAGGAGAATAAGAAAGGGACGAATAAAGGAAAAATCCAAAGTTCCAAATCTATCAAGTTTAACTTACAAACGCTTTATGAAAATTGATTTGGTACGTGCTCGTGTAGGGTAGCTCATGTGCTTCATTTTCCATGGATAATCAACCCCAGGGATAAAAAAGTTCAGGCGAGCGTGAGGACAGATAGAAATATAAAAGAAGAAGAGGAAAGTAGAAGAATAATAAGAACATTGCTCGTTTCGTTTGAGTCTGCCTCCCAAAATTATTGGTTTCGCTTGACACATCCTGAAAAAGTGTGATCGCTTCGCTTGATGTTGCTATATCAACATCGCTTGATGTTGCTATCTCAACATAGCGTTTCGAGGTGATAATGAAGTTCGGCCTCAGCGCTCGCCGCCCAATTTGAATTTTGTATAGGGCGACGGTAATCAACTCTAAACACTGAAGGGGGGGGTCCCTTTATTATCATCGGCATGCGGTTAGTAGCTGCCCCAGAGCTGATGGACAGGGGAACATGCCAGGAGGACGCGCCGCGAAACGTCCCAAGGGATGGCGCCAGGCGGCGTGCCAGGGGACGTGCCATGGGGTCGCACCGCGGGCCGTGCCAAGGGGATGCGCTACGGAACGTGCCAATGGATGTGCCACGGGATGCGCCAGGGGACGCGCCACGCGACGTGCCAGGGGGACTCGCCAAGGGACGCCCCACGGAACGTGCCAAGGAACGTGCCAAGTGTCAATGCTGAGTGGATCGATCTTGATGTAGCGTGCCGAAATCTGTGCTGTGCTGCGCCGTGCTGAATTGCGATGTGCCATGCCGCGATTGTGCTCTATAGCCTCGTGGATCGAGTCCTTCTTTGCATCCGAGTCCTGACCGAACTGATCTGGATCTTAAGCTCGAGCTGCCTGAACACATAGTGGCTGCCCCAGAACTAGTTGACAAGGGGACATGCCAGGAGGACGCGACGCGGAACGTCTCAAGGGACCCGCCAGGCGACGTGGCAAGGGACGTGCCATGGGGACGCACCGCGGGACGTGCCAAGGGGACGCGCTACGGAACGTGCTGGGGACAAGCGCTTCGCTCGAGACATCCTGCCAACATCCTCAGAATTCCTGCGCGCGGGACGCGGCACGCGAAAGACATCCTCGGAATTCTTGCAAGCGGGACGTGAAAGCAAGTATTTCGCCGGAGACATCCTCTGAATTCTGGACCCCCACGAGGCCCCCCACGAGGCCCCCGCTCGAGACATCCCCCAATTTTGCAAAACCAGCGTTTCGTTCGAAACGTCTTCAACAAATTATGAAAGACAAGCATTTCGCTCGAGACATCCTGCCAAAATTCAAGGAAATCCTGGCAAAACAAACGAATTAGTCGAGACATCCTCGAAATTCCTGCGCGCGGGACGCGGCACGCGGGGCGCTTTTCCGTGTCGCGGTCGGCTCTGCAAAACCAGCGTTTCGCTCGAGACATCCTCGACAAATTCTGAAAACAAGCGTTTCGCTCGAGACATCCCCAACTTTGCAAAACCAGCGTTTCGCTCGAGACATCCTCAAAAAAACTGAAAAACAAGCGTTTCGCTAGGGACATCCTCAAAAATAATTCTGCCGGCCCTACTCCCGCATGTAATTTATCGCAGAATAATTTCGCCGGCCCTACAGCCGTCGATTCCGGGGGTAAACCTCTAAAAGAGAACCCTGGGCTCGAGCCCTTTCCGGGAAACATGATCGACCCACGAACCCGGAAAGGAATGTAGAACTGTAACACATGGCAGCGTTTTCAAAGACACCTGATTGGGTGACGGGCAAATGCAATACTGAAGGTATCGATCTTGATGTACCCTGCCGAGGGCTGTGCTGTGCTGCGCCGTGCTGAATTGCGATGTGCCATGGCGCGACTGTGCTCTATAGCCTCGTGGATCGAGTCCTCCTTTGCATCCGAGTCCTGACCGAACTGATCTGGATCTTAAGCTCGAGCTGCCTGAACACATAGTAGCTGCCCCAGAGCTAATGGACAGGGGAACATGCCAGGAGGACGCGCCGCGAAACGTCCCAAGGGATGCGCCAGGCGACGTGCCAGGGGACGTGCCATGGGGTCGCACCGCGGGACGTGCCAAGGGGACGCGCTACGGAACGTGCCAATGGATGTGCCACGGGATGTGCCAGGGGACGCGCGACGCGACGTGCCAGGGGGACTCGCCAAAGGACGCCCCACGGAACGTGCCAAGGAACGTGCCAAGTTGCAATGCTGAGTGCATCGACCTTGATGTACCGTGCCGAAATCAGTGCTGTGCTGCGCCGTGCTGAATTGCGATGTGCCATGGCGCGATTGTGCTCTATAGCCTCGTGGATCGAGTCCTCCTTTGCATCCGAGTCCTGACCGAACTGATCTGGATCTTAAGCTCGAGCTGCCTGAACACATAGTAGCTGCCCCAGAGCTAATGGACAGGGGAACATGCCAGGAGGACGCGACGCAGAACGTCTCAAGGGACGCGCCAAGCGACGTGCCAAGGGACGTGCCATGGGGACGCATCGCGGGACCTGCCAAGGGGACGCGCTACGGAACGTGCTGGGGACAAGCGTTTCGCTCGAGACATCCTGTCAAAATCATCTGAATTCCTACGCGCGGGACGCTGCACGCGCGAGACATCCTCGGAATTCCTGCGATTGGGACTTGAAAACAAGCATTTCGCCTGAGACACCCTTTGAATTCTGGCCCCCCCCCCACGAGGCCACCGCTCGAGACATCCTCCAATTTTGCAAAACCAGCGTTTCGTTCGAGACATCCTCAACAAATTATGAAAAACAAGCGTTTCGCTCGAGACATCCTGTCAAAATCCCAAGAAATCCAAATACCCGCGCGCGGGACGCGGCACGCGCGAGACATCCTTGGAATTCCTGCGCGAGGGGCGCTTTTCCGTGTCGCGGTCGGCTCTGCAAAACCAGCGTGTCGCTCGAGACATCCTCAACAAATTCTGAAACCAAGCGTTTCGCTCGAGACATCCCCAACTCTGCAAAACCAGCGTCTCGCTCGAGACATCCTCAACAAATTCTGAAAAACAAGCGTTTCGCTCGAGACATCCTCAAAAATAATTTCGCCGGCCCTACTCCGTGCGTGCCCGCTCGCAAAATAATTTCGCCGGCCCAAGTCGCAGGGGGGCCGGGGGGTTAACCAACTAAAAGAGAACCCTGGGCCCACGCCCTTTCCGGGAAAAACGTGTCCACCATGACCGACTTGGCCGACTCCTCCTCTGCCCCAACAGGTTGCAAGCAAGCGCGCTTGTGGAGTTGCTGCAGCTCAACCTCATCGGCTTCCGAAGATTCGGCCATTTCTTGTTGCGATACAAGACGCGATTGAAGCTCAGCCTCCAATTCAAAACATGGTTTGTGATAAATGTCTATGTTGCCTTCGCCGCCTCGATCTGATTAGCGCAATGCGCCAGCGCATCCTGATGCGACCGGGCCGTGGGCCATGGAGAGCCGACTGGACCATCCTTCTCCGACTCAGCGGTGGCCACCTGAGCATCTGCAACATCGACGAGGGGGTGGTCAGCAGTGAAGCGAGCTGCTCGAATGCCGCCGCCCGATGATCCCGCTGGGCACCTCGACGTAGCACGCACGCCACCTTCCCCCTTGAACAGAACACGGTGTCCGTTCTCTAAGCCAAAGCTTGGCTGCGACAACAACCGCACCGCCGTTCTCAGGAGTTTGGGCTGCTCACGTTCGTCTTTTGAATGGAACTGTCTTGCGGCCAGCTCGATCGACACGCTGTCCTCCCTGGGCCTGCTCCTCACAAGTCCAAGACCCGCGGGGGCCCTTGACAATATCACGAACAAGCGCATCACGAATCCACTTTTGCAACGATGGCACCGACTCCAGTTTCTCGGGGTTGCACGGGCACCCGCTAGCCACGCAAAGTCCCACCAGCCCTTTAGGGTGTGGGTGGTCTAGAGAGCTTCCTCTTCCAACCCCATTCTTTCCCTTCGGGGAGGGGTTTACCCCTCTCCGTACCCATCCCCGCTGACCTGGACGGGGCGTTTCGCGACGCGTTGGGACGTCCAAGATGGACCAAGACGGCTCCAAGAGCGAAAAGACGAGAAAGCAAAAAAACATTGATTTCCCTAAGTTTTGGAAGGATTTGGCCTTTTGGGGGGGCCCGGGAGGCGATTCGAGGCTCTCTGGAGGGGCGGCGCTAATTGAGAACCCCCCCCCCTTCTTTGATAGATCTCCTCCAGGATGGCCCTAAGAGCGCCCCGAAAGCTCCCAAGAGCGCCCCAAGAGTGCCCCAAGAGGGCCCAAGAGGCCCCAAGAGGCCCCAAAAAGGCCTCCAAGGGCCTCCCAAAAGACCCCCAAACGGCCCCAAGAGGCTCCACGCAAGAGGCCTCTGGGACCGCCAAGAGGCCCCAAAGACGGCCCAAGAGGCTCCCAAACTCGCCATTGTCCTCCTCCTCCTCCTCTTTTTCTTCCTCCTCCCTCCTCCCCCTCCCCCTCCTCCTTCTCCTTCTCCTCCTCCTCCTCCTCCTCCTTTTCCTCCTTCTCGTCCTCTACGTCCTCGCCCTCCTGCATCTCCTCCTCCTCCTCCTCCTCCTCCTCCTCCTCCTCCTCCTCCTCCTCCTCCTCCCCCTCCTGCTCCTGCTCCTCCTCCTCCTCTTCCTCCTCTTCCTCCTCCTCGTACTCCGACGACGACGGCTCCTCCTACATCCTCGCCCTCTTGGGGTATACGGTGGCTCACCCCGCCCTTGGTTCTTCTGCAAGCTCCCCCGCTTCCCTCATCACCTCCACTACCCTGGGACTCATTTCTAGACGGGCTGGTGGGGATACGCTTTTTTGGTCGGCGGCCACTCGACTACGGTCTGGCGGCAACAATAATGTCCGGGACAGCGGCACAAAACGAACTGCACAATCAGTGTTGATGCACGTGCACTGAACAAAATGCTCAGAATTCGAAGGACAACCGCGCCTAAACACGCGCTGCAAACTAACAGCGGTGCCCAAGACACGGAACACTGCCACCCCGAGCCGGGTAGGGACATGCAACAGTGCCAAAAATCGAACAGGCAAGGCTGACCCCTGACGCGCGAAGTGTCGCAGACGTGGCCACTGACGTCTGGTGAAGAAGCGCCTGCGAAACCAACCTGAAGGGCGACAGCTGCAAAGGAGGGCAGTGTGGACACAGGAGTGAGTCGCCAGTAAGGCGCCAGACTCCAAGCCCAAGACAAAGACTGCAAGCCAGTGGAAGCGTGGGGCAGGCGGCGCGCAGACCGGCGGCTGGAGATAGCCGGGGAGCTGTCTGCAAGCGGAGCCAAGCCCGAACGAATTCCGAACTGATAAACGAAGCACGAGCACAAGTAACGAGCTGCAGGCGGGAAAAACGAGGGCCGACGGTACTGAAGGCTGAACCACTCAGCGCACTGGTGGGGATACGTGCAGCGTCTAGAATTTTGTAAACACTGTGAGGGTTCGTGCACTGGTACCTGCTGGGCTGTTGGGAGGACCATGCCGCGAGGGACCTGGACGAGACTGCGGGGTCGCGAACCCTCAGCCAGAGAAGCTCAATGTCCGATTCGCCTGGGACTTGACGACCTCGAGCACGGACAAGCTAGGAGCCTCGGGGCAGAAGTTCCGAGCTTGAGCCACAATGGCTACGGAGCAGGAGGGAGGACGATGAAGAGGGAGGGGCAAGCTAGGCGCGCTCGCGTCGTATCTGACGCCCCACCCCCCCCCTCCAATCCCCTGCCACGGCGTAGATATCCTCCCGATTCGCACAGTCAAACGCCGAGCAGGGCTACGATCGCGAAAGGGTACCCGATGCATGGTAGAGTCTGGCATGGCATGGCGTAGAAGAGCACACGTAGCATGCCATAGCAATAGCACGGCGTGGCGTTGCGCAGTGAGGCATTGCATCACAAAGCATTGCAACTCAAAACATGGCATCGCACAGCGGCGCAGAACACAACACCGCGCAGCATGTCACGGCATGGCGCCAGGTTCCTCGGAGGGTAAGTGGATTGTATTCGATACGTGTCTGGGATCGTGGTTCCATGTCTAGCTTGTTGGGCTCCACAAAAAGCTGCACGCAAGGCGGGGCTGATGGAGGGCATCCGCTGGCTCTGGTTTCGACATGCCTTCTCAAAGCAGAAACGGTGTTCCCGCTTGATACTTCCTGAAAACGACGACGCCCCAAAGTAGGGCGTCTGCGGCCCCAAAGAAAACAACGAATCGATACCGAAAGTGAAGTCAAATTGATGGTATTTTTCGGGGGAGCATGCTCTAGAGTTTGGGGCTTAATTGGAAGGCCACCGCTGCAGTGGGAGCACGATTCGGAACGAGCGGAAGCGCGGAACATGAGGCCAGCGCTGCAGCGGGAACAACATTTTTGGGGAACGAAAAAAAACGATACCCAACTCCCGGGCAACCTGCCTGAGAAACACAGTACGCCGAGGGGGGCCAGATATCTGTCGGACGTCATCAGGGGAGAGATTAAAGTAGCTTTCATATTGTATAACTGTGGAGGCGGAAGAGGAGGAGGGAGGGGGAGCAGGGGGGAGGAGCAGGACGAAGAGGGAGCAGGGGGAGGGTCCTCCACCCTCGACGGCAAGGACGAGGCAGACGTAGAGAGTCGGCCGCCGCGCCTGCAGGTGCACCAGGCGCGTCGGCCAGAGGTGCGACTGCCTCGCCACCGCCAGCGCAGGGCAAGGGCAGGAGAGAGGAGCCCCCCCAAAAAATCCTCCCCCCATCGATCCTCCACCTCCTCCTCCGCCGCCTCCTCCTCCGCCTGCTCCTCGATCCTCTGCCGTCAATCCTCCACCTCCTCCTGCTCCTCCTCCAACTCCCCTCCTCCTCCTCCTCCTCCTCCTCCTCCTCCTCCTCCTCCTCGATCCTCCTCCTCCTGCTCCTCCTCCTCGACCCTCCTCCCTTTGCTCCTCCTGCTCTCTCTCTCTCTCTCCCTCTCTCTCTATCTGCGCCCTCGGAGAGGGCATTGTTTTTCAGGGCAAGGATGGTAGAAGGAGGGACGGAACGAGAATGGGGGGGACGAGGTTGAGGGAAGAGGAGGGAGGAGGGAGGAGGGGGAGGAAGGACAAATGAGGGGGGAGGGGAGAGGCAAGAGGAAAAAGGAGGAGGAGGCGGAGGAGGACGACGACGAATGTCTGATGGACTTTGCCTGAAGGCCACTGCGTCTCTGGTGCGGAGGGCAGGGTGGCCACGGTTGTCCATGGCCGGACCCAGCGGTCGCCCTTGGCACCCTCTGATCGTCCTGAGTTGCCCAGGGACCTCAAGGGGCGCCATCCTCTGCCATGCAATGCAACGCCTGGCTATCATGATCTGCTATGATATGCGATGATGCTATGCGATGCGATGTTGTGTAGGAAAATTATGTTATGATCCGAAGTGTGGAAGTGCCCTGTGGTACCCCGTGCTGGGCTATGCTACACGGTGCAGTGTGATATCATGCTTCGATGTTCTGTGAACCGCGCTGCCGTACCATGACAAATGTGCGGTGTTATGCCACGCAAGGACGTACAATGCAATGATATGTCAAGATATGCGACGCGGTGCAAGATCATCGCATGGTCGTATCGAGTATGTGGCGGGCAACCCCACGATGTACGTTACCAATGACTTGCAATGTTGCAACATGAGTGTGTACTAGTTAGTGCACTGCTACGCCATGAAAGTATACAGTATTCACTGCTACGCAGCACTGATATGCCATGGTATGCTAAGCGGTCGTACAACATGCATTGCAGTGGTACCTTATACGGCACATGGCATCACATTGCATTGCACACGGCTGCAGATCTTAGGCCTCAGCCTATCTAAAACATATAAGTGCGTTCGCGCCGCGCCTGGTTCACGCGTATGTCATGGGCCGCTCTCGGGGGCGAGCCTCCCCCTCCCCCCCGCCTCAACACCGAGCAGTCCTCGCAGCTGCCCTCTCCTTGTCCCCTCCCCCCTTCACTCCTCCCTCGTTCCTCTCTGCTTCCTCCCTCGCACCTCCCTCCCCCAACCTTCTCTCTGCGGAGCGATACAATGCGCGAGCGCACCGAGCTTCACGTTTCTCTCCCCCCTCCACACCTCCTTCTATGGGAGCAAGCGACAGACGACGATGACGGTGACGGCGGCAGCTTCGGCGGCGACGATGGCAACGACCCCACAGACCTCCGGCGGACTGACTTGTTCAACCCGTGGGCCCCAGAGGTCTCAACCCCTTCCCCAGGGATGGCCTCCCGTTCCGGTTCCAGCCCCTCGTGTATGTATATACACATGTGTTTGAAGATTTACCTATGGATTTACGGATGTATCTATGCATGCATTCATGCGTGCGAACATGCATGTATCCGCTGTTGTATGCATGCATGGATATATGTATGTGCGTGTGTATGAATGTATGGATGCATGATGTGCGCATGCATGTCTGCATGCGTATGTATATTTGCATGTATGCATGCATGCCTGCATGTATGCATACATCAATGTATGTAGAATGTACGTATGTAGGTATGTGTGAGTGTATGTGCATATGTGCGCGTGTGGATATACGCTTTTGTATGTAGGTAAATATGTCTGAATGTATGCGTACGTATTGAAAAATGTGTGTTCATGTAAGTGTGAATGTAAAAGAGAACGCGTTTCACGGGCGTTTGCCTTGGGACCATTCGGCGGCGCGTTTCAATCCGGGGGTGGGCCCCCCCCAACACTCGGCACCGTCGATCAAAACCAGGGGGACTCCCCATCCCCCCCAAAACCCCCCCCCCTCCCGAACCCCTCCCTCGGCGCCGGCGCCGGCGCTGGCGTTGGCGGCAGCCAGCAGCGCCCACGGCGGGGACGCAGCGACAATGAACAGAGGCAGCTCAGGGGGGGTGGAGGGGGGTTTCAAACCCCTCCCACCCCCCTTGGCGCCGGGGGGGGGGGGGTCAAACGCCCCCCCGCGTCGCGCCGGCGCCGGCGCTGGCGGCGGCCAGCAGCGCCAGCGCTGGCGCCGGCGACGGCGGGGACCACCACCACCACCACCGCCTCAACCCACCACCACCACCACCAACAACAACAGCACCACACAACCACCACCACCACCACAGCCACCGCCACCACAACCACCACCACAACTCACCATCACCACCACCACCACCACAAAACCCACCACCACCACCACAACCACAATCTACCACACCACCACCACCACCGCCACAACCACTACCAGCAGCACAACCCACCGCCACCACCACAAACCACCACACCACCACCACCGCCACCACCACCACCACAACAAACGTCCACAAACCACCGCCACCACCACAACCCACTACCACCACCACCACCACAAAGCACCACCCCACCACCACCACCACACAACCACAACCACCACCACAACAACCACCACACCACCACAACTCACCATGACCACCACCACCACCACAAAAACCCACCACCACCACCGCCACCACCACAATCTACCACACCACCACCACCACCGCCAAAACCACCACCACTACCAGCAGCACAACCCACCACGACCACCACAAACCACCACACCACCACCACCACCGCCACCACCACAACCAGCACCACCTCCACAAACAACCGCCACAACCACAAACCACCACCACCACCACAAATTACCACCACAAACCACCACCAAATCACCACCACCACCACCCACCACCACCACCACCACCACCACCCGGCGCCACAACCACCACCACCACAACAAACCACCACACCACCACCACCACCACCACCGCCACCACCACCACCACCACCACAACCTAACCACCACAACCACCACCACCGTCGTCCCCGTCGACGCTCCCCGCCACCGCCGCCCACCGCCGCAGGCGCCGGCCGGCGCCGGCCCAGAAATGGAAATCGTCGTCCCCGCCGCCGTCGCCAGCCGCCGCCGACGCAAGCGCCGGCCCGAGGAGAGGGGAAGCAGGGGTGGAGGAAGGGGGGGGGTGAAACCCCCCCCCCTCCGTCACGGGAAGGGGGAGGACGGGGGGGGGGGTCGAATCCCCCCCCCTCCATCCAGGGGGGGGGTCCGGTTCCACCCCCCCCCCCTGAAGCGACCACAGAACGCGCTCTTTCGAATGTATGGATGTATGTATGGGTGTACATATGTATATGTCTGTATGTGTGGAATGTGTATGTATGGATGGATGTATGTTTGTATGTATGTATGTATGTATGTAAATTTGTATGCATGTATGTATGTATGTATGTATGGATGTATGTATGCATGTATGCGTGAACATATAGATGTATGTATGTATGTATGGATGGATGGATGGATGGATGTCTGGGTGGATATCTGGATGAGTGGATGCATGTGTGTCTGTATGTATGTGTGTATGCATGTATGCATGTATGCATGTATGCATGTATGCATGTATGCATGTATGCATGTATGCATGTATGCATGTATGCGTGTATGCATGTATGCGTGTATGCATGTATGCATGTATGCATGTATACATGTACGTATGTATGTATGTATGTATGCATGTATGCATGTATGCATGTATGTGTGCGTGAGTATATAGATGTATGTATGTATGGATGGATGGTTGTCTGGATGGATACCTGGATGTGTGGATGCATGTGTGTATGCATATATGTATGTATGTAGGTATGCATGTATGCATGTATGCATGTATGTATGTATGTGTGTATGTGTGCATGCATGCATGCATGCATGTATGTATGTATTGTATGCATGCATACATGTATGTATGTATGTATGCATGGATGTATGTGTGTATGTGTAAGTGTGTATGCATGTGTGTATGTATGTGTGCATGGATGCCTGCATGTTTGTATGTATATCTGTGTGTGCGTAGTGTATGGATGTGTGTATGGATGGATGAGTGTCTGCATGCATGCACGTATGTGTGCATGCATGCATGTGCATGTATAATGTGGCGTCTGCTACATGCATGCATGTGCAAATGTATGTCTATGAATATAGATGCAGCTATGCCAAGCTTGATATATGCAACGCCAGTCAGTGACCTTCACCACATATAAATATGTGCATACATAACATATAAATATGTATGTGAACACACGCTGCGGTCGCAGAACAGACAAGAAGGTCTTCAGAGGTCAAGGATGACAACGGCTGCGTCAAACGGGGCGAAGCCGCGCGACGCGAGGCCGAGACAGATCGGCGCTGGCGCGGGGGGCCTCAGGAACTCCGCCTGGCCGGGCGGGTGCCGTTGAAGAGGGGCGGAGGGGAGGGAAGCTGTAGGAGCAAAAAACTGCATGAGCATAGACTCGGAGCTCCGCGCTGACTCATTGGATCTGCGCTGGGCCCACCTCCCTGGCGGGCGGAGCGCGCCAAAGGCGGCACCAGAGGCGCCGCCAGAGGGGGCCCAGCGCCGATCCGAGAAATCCGCGCACAGCGTCGAAGGTTTATGGTCATGTGTTTTGTTGTTCTTCGAGTTGGTGAGGGGAGGAGGGGGGTGAAGTCCTCCTGCCTCCTCCTCCCCCATGCTCCTCCCGCGCCTGTTACTCCTCCCTTCCGCCCCTTGATCTTCACCATCATCCTCGTCCTCGTCCTCCTCCTCCATTCGTTCTCCTCACGCTCCCCGCCTTACCCCCCTCCCCCTCGTGCCCTGGCCCCCCTCCTCCCTCCTCCCTCCTCCTCCCTTACCTCCCCCCTTGCCTTTCTCTCCAAA